ACAAGCTCTTGTCTGCAGAGGTGCGAGCCTATTGGGAGCCACAAATCCTAGCTGACCCGCCAGCAATCTGAACCTGCTTCAAAGCCACACTGATTTGGTACCTTTCCGAAGGAGCTTTTGAAGCAGACACACTATAGAAAGCAAGCAAGTATCTGAAAATCTGTTTCAGTGAGAGGGCATCCCCTTCCTTTGAAGGGATAAATTAACAAAGGCGAGGTATTCGGCTGTGTTAGACCAACTGGACTACCACTCCGTCCTCTTAGAGACAGGGATTAATCTTTGCCTTCAAAAGCCTGTAAAATCATGTAACAATATTAGTCCAGAGGCTCTTGCAGACCATTTATTCATATATTCATCAGCATTTTTTTCAAATGAATGTGGAAGGGAGACTAGATAATTAGATCCAAGACGAAGAAAAAGCAGGGAGCTGAAATCTCATGCATAATCCTCTGGCCGCCCCTGCCATGCTGCAATTGCTCTTGCCAGTGTCAGATCCAGAAAAGCCCTAGCACCGTGCTGGAAGAGCGATCCTGCAGGCTGAGCAACAGCATTGCAGTAAAGGCAGCAGCAGGAGATCAGCATTGCCAGCAGCAGTGGTGTGGATGGAGAGCAGGGGCACAGCCATGTGTGGAAGAGCCATTTCAGGGAGCCTAATGTAGAAGATGCAGTCTGCTCATCACCACCATTACGGCATCATCTCATTAGTCAAGCCCCTGTTGCTCTTGTAGAAACTGCTCAGTACCAGCCACCTGAATGCTTTGTGTAACCCATTAATTCCTAACATTTTGCAGAAGACTACTATCCACCCTCAAAAACTCCTCAGAAAACCACCACTGCTCACTTCTCTAACGTGCATGACGGCCTCACAGACCATCTGTGGTTTGCAAATCACAGCTGGAGAAAAAACCTCAAGAAGGTATGCAGCAGCTTTCCATCTGATCCGCAACAGCTACCACAGAGAAGTCTTCACCTAAGCGGCAACAAGCCCAATGCATTTTCCTCAGCCTCTCCATGAAACAATTATGTCCCAATGCAAACTATCTGTCAACTGCACTCAAATGCTGCAATATGTGATATGATCATCATTATTACTTTTACCACAAGTTGGGAACGCATCCCTGAAAAGCCAATGGAAATGCTATGAGAAGGGGAATTTCTTTCTTAATTCAGTAATTGTACTGTCCCCAGAGCATCACATTAGGCCATGACCAGCATATTGGGGAGACACGGCTGCTTGGCTGAGACTGTTCATCTCAATTTGCAGTTTTATTACCTAAAGTAAAGCTTTTAAGTTTAAAAAGGACTAGTTTCCATCTTATTTAATTCTAATTTTATTTATGTATCACAGATATCAAGCTGTTTTCACATTTCTCATACTAAAGAAATTGTTAAAGACTGTTTTGTAACAAAATTAGTAATTATAAACTTTATACTAACAAGAAAAACTGGAAAGACTAACAGGAGGTTGTTACGTGAACTACTGTAAACACAGCCTTATAAAGAAAGAAAACTCATTCTACAAAGTATGTTTAATGAAGATTTATTCGATAAGTCTCAAGCATGGTATCAACACTACATAAGTGATGCTTTTAAGAGGATTATCTACAAAATATCTGGGTATTTACACAACTGAGGTCTTTAAGACTATGCTTACCACTATGGAAAAGGCATAGCACCTCTCAGTTTAAAAGCATATTAAGAAAAAATAAGAGGACAAGAGAGCTCTGTCCCTCCCTCCTTACATATGAATCAGTCCCCTTATGCAGACTGCAACTAAGTTCACTGTTAAAAAGCAGAAAAATACTGTAAAACACAAAAATTACTTAAAACCAGTATGCTAACTTGCAGGAAAATTCCTTCACCTTTCTGCAAGCAATCTGCTGCCACCCATCAAAACCAGGGAGTGACTACCTTTGTGCTTATGCATCTGGGAAGCTTACTCTCCTGCTAACTGTGGCCCCTTAATTGTCACGAGATTTTCCATATAATATTAACTAAAAATAATCCGTGTAGTCCTGGTTCTGAAGATCTCCGAATTCAGCAAGTAAAAGTTAAGGAAAAGCAACGTTGCACAACAAACTCAACCATTTATCCCCTTTCCTACCCTGGGCCAAAGATGCAGTAATATTCTGAAGCCAGAAAAAGAGAAAGCAGCATTATCAGATTATCATATTCCTGTGCAAGATGTGGGTTGTAGGGAAGAGAGAGAAATCATTTTCCTAAAAAACACACCTTGGCAATGACCAAACTCCATTCTACTCAATTCACCTGTGAAATGGTGTCATAAAAATGCTCTAAACATTTCTATTCTGTAGTTGAGATGTTCCACAGGACAGAACATGTTTAGGGCCTGGATACTTAACATCTCTTTCTCACTGTTTAACATCAGAGAAGAACAACCAACAAGGATCAAACTTCTCCTTCACTTGGTTCATGGCAAAGAAAAAACATTTTGGTTTCCTGCAAGTGCACTGCAGTGATTTTATCTTAACTAGAAATGTAGTTCTGGGGATAAAGGCTCATCGCCCACTCAAGTTTATTCACCATGAGGGCTACAAATCAGTCACTTTATGATAACGAGGACAGGACAAGGTTTTAAACAGAATATCCCAGGACAGGATTAAGCAATTTTTTTCCTTAAGCTGTTTTTTCAACACCTTTATTTCAGCCATGCCTGAGACTTGGAACAACACCCCACAAACCCATGCATAACTTGTTTTTCCAGAGCAATATTCAGTATTACTTCTCCTTTCTTCTTGCAGAAGGATCTGCGGCAAACTCCTAAAGGTAATAATGATACAACCAGACAGGACAATGGCTTTCCCAAGTGGGTAAGTCCCTCAACTTGACAGCAAATTTTAAGAGTAATTTTAAAAACTGATCAGGATACATAGGTATAGGCAGGCATCACACTTGAAAGCCAGCTGATGAGCCACTTTCAAGATCATCGATGATATTTGCTTGCATTTACAAACATGCCAAAACATCTTTTTCCCCGCAAACACCGTGCTCCCAGGTACTAATTACCGTTCTGCAAATCAAAATACAAGATAGACGTTTCCAGCCCATGTATGCACTGCAGGACTGAAAAGATTTCTCCAAAATTTAGCAGAAATTGAGTAAGTGTAGGGTCTCAAGTGAAAAGTACCTGGGTGACCATTGTCCAGAGCCAACGGTGCTTCTAGCATAAGGTCACATTTTCACTCCCAATTGGTCCTACCCTTTGCCCACTACACGCACAATCAGCCTGAGCTTTCCAGCACGAGACGGGAATTCCCACAGCTCAAACGCTGGCAGAAGTCATTTGTCAAAGAGACATTGCTGCCTATCTCACATCCCACCCACACAGCATGAGCATAGCTCCCCCGTGGTGGCTAGCTGTTTATTTTTTTCAGTAGGCATACAGCTGAGCTATTAAAAATATTCAAAATGGAGTCCAAAGGTAAGAATTCCATAAATCTGTTAACACCTTAAAAACCACCTCCTTTCATCTGGGGAAAAATAGCTAGAGCACACTGAACTCTACCAACAGGTTACCCAAGTTGTTAACCAGCACCAGCCTTTGTCCTCAAATACCTCAAAAGGAAACATTAAACGTAACAACCAACAACAAAATCAGTCTGTCGTCCTGTATCCCCCCACCAAAAAAAAAAAAAAAAAAAAAAAGAGTAAAAGACAAAGCCATCACATCCACAATATTGGCCAGTGATCTCAGAAGACTGACTCCTTTTGTGCAGAGCCACAAAATTCAATCTAGTACATGAATACAAAATAGGGAGTAAAACCTTTGATTTGACACGTGTTACCACAGCAGTCTTAAAATGAGAATCTCTCTCAGGATTAGGAAAATATAACCTCCCTTACCTGATGGACAAGTTTTTGAGCACACTGAGGGGAGATTTCTCAGAATCCAAAGCCAAACACTCATACAAGGATCTCTTCCTTTTTTTTTTTTCCCCCAACAAAATAGCTCTACCTCCTTAAAAGTTTCCTTCCCCAGATATGCATTTAAGTCCACAAAAATCTAGGTTAGGTCGCAGCCCATTCTCCCCCCGAATCTGCTGTAGTTGTTTTGAATAAGCTTCGTTTACATTTTTCTAACTTGCATTACCAGAAGCGCTTAGATCTTCTGCAAGATCTCTTTAATATAAAGGGACCTAAAGGCATTTTGGAACGCTGCAGAGAAGGGAAAGTTGGGCTTTTGGAAAACTCAAGCTCCTACCTGGAAAGTAGATAATGCTTCACATACCAAATCATACCTAGTACAAATATCTGTATCTGTTCACACCTGGAAACAAAACACTTTTGGAAGAGAGAAGGGGGAAACACAAAGGACAGCGGCAGATTGCTTTCCATAGCATTTCATGTATTGTGACCAAAACTTTGGTTTCCATCACTTGAAGTGGTGCAACTGTGATCTCTCTCAGCTCCATGAGGAGCAGCCAGCCTCCAGGATGAACACTCTGGCTACTGTGCTTCCTTCATTCCAGAAGGACAAGACCCAAGAGACACTGTAGCAGGATCATTACAAGAGGGAAGAAAAGCAGATAGCCCAGAGCGATACGCTTTGATCAGCCTGTGTTTGGCTCCTTATTTCAAAACAAGATTTCTCCTTAATGGGAGCAGCAACTCAAAAACCTACTTTGCTTCGAAGTGCTCCTTTTAGTCTGTGAAGAGACTCACAAAATGCTGCTTTGTTCTGCTGTGCTCCCCTTTTTTAAGGAAAAACAAGCAGCTCCAACCAGGTTAGGCTCTCCTTAGCTCCCCGCCAAGGGTGAGAGCTGAGCTATTTAAGACTCCCAAGGCTGCTGTGCTCCATCCTCCCTCCACTCCCAAATCCCACTCACCCAGCCTGGGAAAGTAGATGAGTGCCAGTTCTAACACACTTTGTTCCAGCATTTTGCATTTGCATTCTGCTCTCCCAATTGCAAGACAGAACTGCAGAATATTTTACTGCATTCCCAGAATAGGAACAACATTTAATAAAAGTTTCTTCTTACCAGAGCTAGGCATGTGGTTCACTCTAGGTGGATTCAACAGCTCTACCGGCTGGTCTCTGCCAGAAAGCCCATCTGGGGAAAAAAAGAAAATTTAAAAAAAAAAAACAAACCAAAAACTTAACACATCAACTCTTTGGTTAGCTGAGCTATTTTTAGACATTCCAAGCGGGAGGGGGGTGGGGGGGGTGGAATCACTAACCAATTATCAATGTAAGACAGAAACACAAGTAACACAAATCAATAGAAACAAGAACATTAACAGGACAGCTGCATAACAACTGCTTACACTAAAGCATCAAACAAAAGATACTGTATCCCAAATTGCACTCAGGTTTTCCTAGTCTTTAAATCCACAACTGCTACTGATCCTAATCCAAGGAAATAGGTACATCATCTTATAAACCTTACCATACAATAAGTAAATTGCAATTCATTCCTTGCTCGGAGAACTGAGTGAGTTAAGACAGAAATGCAGCCCTGTGAAGCGAAGTTGAAGAATGGCTGTAATATACCAGGGAGATGTTAAGGAAAACTGACAAATCACTGCAGGAGATTAAAATGCATAGACATGCATAACAAGCCCCATTTTGCATAAGTTTGGATTTCAGAAAGGCATTAAAAACATACTTTGTAAATGATATGCAGAAATCCATCTTGCTGAAGCAGTTCTCTATTTAAAATATTTCAAAGATTGTATCTTGCATTCAGGTAGAGTTGAAACAGAAGAACACAATACCTACTGCTGTAGACTGCCAGACCAGATTTTCTAGTCACACATTCCCCTCTCATCTGCCCCCTTCCCCCTCAAATAAGAGTTGAAGCAAAAAGTGCTAAATTATGTTTTCAGTACTTAAATTATGAATACTTGAATAGAGAAAACTTATCTCAAACCCATTTGTTCCTCTGTAGATATCTCCACCTCTACCAGTTCTGTCTCACTTGTTCTCCTCTAATGCCTTTCTGCACTCTGTGCTACAGCACAGATACAATCAAGCCAAAACCTGCCTGGAGACATCAAAGAAGCCAACCCATCTCTCTCAGTCAAAGCAAAGGACAGTATCATGAAAACATTAAGATGTCAGTGGAACACTAAAAAACATACAAAATTAAAAAAAAATAAAATCACACTTTCTTTTCTTCTCTTATTTTCTCTGTTGCAAGTTCCTGGAGAGAAAGTGCAGTTGAGTCTTCTCCATCACTTGCATGAGTTTGCCTCCAGTGACCATGCCCAAGGATCAGTACAGCCTCAGGCAACATGTTAATAAATTAAACTATAACGATGGCGAGTTCTCCTTCTCAAATAAGTAATATAGATTCCTCGCATTATATTTTTTTTTGCTTTTGTTTACTGTACTGGAGCAGCCAACCTACGGTGTTAAGTGGGATGACACTTGGCCAGCTGAGCTTCACCTGCACAAGCAGCAGCGAATGGCAATAAATGAGGAGGCAACTGGAGCGAAACATAGGAGAAACATGGCTATTTTAATTAGACTTCTGTCATCAGCCTCCCCAGATTCACAACCCAGGGGTCACTGCAGATCAAAGAGGGTAAACGGATAGCAAAAAAATATGATGCTCCCCGATTACTACAATGTCAGGTTTTACAACCTTGTTTTTTCTATAAGACAGGCACTTGCTATCTCAGCCCTCACTTGTAATTTTTTAATTCATTGGTGAACTGAAACCCTACCTGCTCCTGAAGCCTTCACTATGTTTCTGTGCTGAACACGCCAACATCACCCAGGGACCACAAGCAGCTCCCAGAAATCATCTCTCCAGCTTGCCAGCAGCTTCAAAGAAAAAATACCACTCTGCTGGGCTCTCCTAGCAACGAAGCAGCAGCCGCCCCAGCAGCCAGCCAGTATGGCACATGTACCCACTCTGGTGCATGCTGTGGCTAGGATGGAGAGAGCAGCTGGGAAAAGTGGGCACCCAGCAGGTCGAGGCTGAGCTCTCTGCTGAGCTATTTCAGACAGAAGATGTGCCTTCAGAGGATAAGGACCCACCTACAAAACAGAGCCTTGTACCAGCAGCCCAGGTGCTCTGCAAGACAAATCCAGGTCAATTTTGACGAAAACACCCATTTGCAGTGAGACTTTTGGAACAAAGGTGCCCTTTCTCATGCTAAACCCAGCAGTTTTGAGTAAGTGACGTATTAAACCCATACCTCCAGTGCTACAAAACTGCTGGCAGAGATCAACTGACAGGTGCCCACCTATTCCTAGCACAAGTCTGCAGCATCACCTGTTTCGGCAGGCTCACCTGGCTGGCCAGACAGCACAGACAGGCACCTGTACAAAGCAGGCAACCTGCTTCGATGCCCACTAAACCAAGAAAGACCTTTTATTTTGTTACCCGTGGACATCCTCCCCAACTGCTGCAAATTTTCAGTCTCACAAGTTCAGAGATCACTGACAAAAGTGTTAATTACTGGGAATTTTTTTAAAGACTTTTTTTTTTTTTTAAGAGAAAGTATCTGCATTTTCAACTAATTAAAAAAAAACAAACAAAACCACAACAACAAAAAAACAAACTACCACTCTTCAACCTTCACTTCAAAATGAGTAATAGAAACATCTCTTAAAGCACTGACACCTTGAACACTGGAAGTGAAACCAAACTTCGTAAGACTGACGTTCTGTATTTGTTGTGTTGAGTGATTAAAAAATAATTATCTGTTTGAAAAAAAAAAAAGGGGGGGGGCAGCACTTCATCAGGAGATATTTGCATAAGGCACCTCTACTCCTAAGCTATGAGTTATACATGGATAAAAAAAACCCAAACAACCAGTTAAAATAAGATGTAAACATGCAAGCTTGCCTCCTCCTGAGGGGTAAGCTATCTCACACCCTGAGTATGCACCCAGCAATCACAACACAGCAAACATGCTATCCACACACACAAAAAAAATACAGTAACCAGCTTAAAACCCTTCAGGTTGGTACGTCCACACCATAAACATTTCACCGTACTTGCTCCTGGTAACCTACCACCTTCTTTCCCAGCCCTCTGTATCCTCCTAATTGAAGTAGCTGCAAACAAGCACACATTCTGCTCTATTGCTCTGCATACACACACTTTCTCTGTTACTACAAAATATGAGCAGCAGCGAAAAAGCCAGAACCTCAGAGATATTTCAAGCTCATTTTATCCGCTTCTACGCCTCACTGCAGAAGCGGCACATATTTAAGAGAAGCCTGTGCTCTGTAACCAGTCTTTCCAAGGTGGAACTCAAATGTTGTCCTTTTCCCAGCAGCATCACAACAGCTGTAGGCCAAAGCCAAAAGCTCTTACTCCAGCCACCTCCATAAATGCAGGCAGAGTCTATCTGGTTTCAGACACCACTTGCTGTCGGGATACTACAGGAGATTCCACAAAAATCAGTCATACATCGAGTCAGCTACTTAGGGTGTGAAATACCTTTTTGCTCTGGATTGTGGTGGTTGCACAATATCTGTATTACTCAAAGCTGTGATGGTTCATACTATCAGTGACCTTCACTCCATCACTGAGCATCTTGGACTCAAAACTTTGCTGCACATGGAGAGTTAGCTTGGCACTTGAGCCCAAAAACAAAGCAAAAATCCCCGGAACACAAACTTGGCCTCTCAAAGCATTTAAACTTTCCTGCTGTCTCCTCAGCTTCCTACAACAAGCTAAAGGTGCTACAAAAGGCAAAGAAATCCTTTAATTTCAAGAGACTAGCTGATCAGTTTGTTAGGAAAGTTAAAATACCGTTGCATGTAATGAAGCATCGTATCTACTGCCAACAAAATACTGACGAAAAACACACAGCAAACTAAAGCAACCAAAACCACTTACACTTTCCAAAAGGAGCAGAAGAGTCCCTTACACCAGTCTGAAGAAAGGCTTTAAAATCATAAATGCGCTACATCAATTTTTGATCAAGTACTAAAATCCATATACCCAATCTATCAGGATTCCTCCTTTGCTGCCCACAAAAGCACTTGCTTTGATTGCTCCCTTCTCTGACAAACAGATGAGCTAAATTGATGTCAAACTTTTAAAGAATTATCTGTGGAAAAAAATCCCTAAGAACTGTCCACTGAAAGATGGAGATGTTTGGAGTCCTAGGCTGTGATGATGTGCTCTATACAGCTCTGAAAGAGAAAAAATATCCCTATCTTTTGCATATTCAACCACATTGCTTCACAGATCCGGTTGCACCATCCCATTGAAAATAAACTGGTCACCTGGCAGGAGACAAGCCTCAAGAAAAGCATGTTTTCTGCTACTGCTGCTTTGGGTTTTCTTACCACCATTACTGGAGACTCTCTACTAAATCAACTGCTGTATAATTGATCTTTGTGAGACAAGGGAAAAGCGTGATGGTTTATGTCAATGCTTAGAAAGCACTAAGAGTGGTCTGGGTCTGTAAATGCCAAAATGAATACAATCAATTTCCATTACAAAAAAGTTTTACCTCCTACCTTTACAAAGTATTCAGCTCCAATCCTCTCCACGCTTCACCACGTATCTACAGAGAAAACTTTGGCAACTACAAAATTAAAGAAAAAAACCCTCAGAAGGTGCTAAAATTATCTGTGCCACACATAGGTCTACAGTTTTATCCCTGTTACTGCCCAGAAGGGATCACAGGGGTGCTTCTGCAGTCCCAAAAAGGCAGACAGGGATGGGAAGCAGCTTGTCTTACCAAGGTGGACAGGCAATGGAAGTTCCAAGAGGTCAAACCACGCAATCACAATTTCAGTCTCTTACAAGCCACAAACCCTACTTTGAGTAGTACTGAAGCAAACCAGATTAACTACAAAATATTTGAGCTCGCTACTAGGCAAGTTTTTCCTAAGCTACTAAAAATAATTCTCAAGAAAATGTCCTCTTAGATTGATTCACACAGAACCAATTAACCGATTTCACCAGAAGTACCAGTAAGCAGCAAGTTGTCCCAGCTGTACCACGGAGGCTGAACTGGGAAGATTAGTCCCTGGGCTGATGGCAGCCAGTGAACACCAGAAACAATGCCTACAGTCCAAGATGCTCACAAGGGAAAGACAAAGTGCACCATCCATCAAGCTTGGAAGAAGGCAGACACCAGCCTGATTTATGGCTTGAGTTAGAGAACATTTAGCGTATCTTAATTTCCAGATGGGTATTTTACTCATTAATTAATAAGATGAA